GTTCCACTGGTCTATGTGTCTGTTTTTATGCCAGTACCATGCTGTCTTGGTGATCACAGCTTTGTAGTAAAGCTTGAAATCAGGTAACATGATGCCCCCAGTTTTATTTTTGTTTTTCAACATTTCCTTAGCGATTTGGGTTCTCTCCTGATTCCATACAAATTTTAGGATTATTTGCTCCAGCTCTTTGAAAAATACTGGTGGAATTTTGATCAGAATGGCATTAAAAGTATAGATTGCTCTAGGCAGTATAGATATTTTAACAATGTTTATTCTTCCGATCCAAGAGCATGGAATGGTATTCCATCTTTTTGTGTCTTCTTCAATTTCTTTCATGAGTGTTCTGTAGTTCCTCAAGTACGATCCTTTACCTCTTTGGTTAGGTTTATTCCCAGGTATCTTATGGTTCTTGCTGCTATAGTAAATGGAATCGATTCTCTAATTTCCCTTTCTGTATTTTCATTGTTAGTGTATAAGAAAGCCACTGATTTCTGTACATTGACTTTGTATCCTGCCTGGTTGCTGAGTTGCTGTATGAGTTCTAGTAGTTAGGGGGTGGAGTCTTTTTGGGTTTTCCATATAAAGAATCATGTCATCTGCGAAGAAAGAGAGTTTGACTTCTTCATTGCCAATTTGGATACCTTTTATTTCTCTTTGTTGTCTGATTGCTGTTGCTAGGACTTCTAATACTATGTTGAACAAGAGTGGTGAGAGTGGGCATCCTTGTCGTGTTCCTGATCTCAACGGGAAGGCTACAAGCTTTTTCCCATTGAGGATGATATTTGCTGTGGGTCTTTCATAGATAGATTTTATGAAGTTCAGGAATGTTCCCTCTATCCCTATACTTTGAAGTGTTTTAATCAGGAACAGATACTGGATTTTGTCAAATGCTTTTTCTGCATCAATTGAGAGGACCATGTCCCAATATTTTTTGTTTGTTTCCTTTGCCTCTGGAGACATATCAAGAAAAAAGTTACGATGTCAGAGAAGTTACTTTCTGTGTTCTCCTCTAGGATTTTTATGGTTTCAAGTTTATTTTTGTGTATGTTATAAGAAAGTGGCCCAGTTTTCCCAACACTATTTGTTGAAGAGACATTCTTTTTCCCATTCAATATTCTTTCTTGATTTGTGGAAGATTAACTGCCAATATACTTATGGGTTTATTTCTGGGTTTTCAATTTTGTTCCATTGATCTATGTATCTATTTTTTTGCTAATACAATACTGTTTTGATTACTACAGCTTTGTAATATAACTTGAAGTCTGGGATTGTGATGCCTCCAGCTTTGCTTTTCTTTTTCAAGATTGTTTTGGTTATTTGGGGTCTTTTGTGGTTGCATATAAATTTTAGGATTGTTTGTTCTAGTTCTGTGAAAAATGCTGTTTGTATTTCGATAGGCATTGGGAATATAAACATTTTACCAATATTTGTTTTTCTAATCCATAAGCATAGAATTTTTTCCATTTCTTTATGTCATCTTTCATCAGTGTTTTATGGTTTTCAGAGTACAGGTCTTTTACCTCTGATTAGGTTTCTTCCTAGGTATCTTATTTGTGGTGCAATTTTAAATGGGATTGTTAATTTCTCTTTCTGCTGCTTCAGTACTAGCATATAGAAATGCAACAGATTTCTGTACATTAATTTGTATCCTTTACTGAATTGGTGTATCAGTTCTAGCAGTTTTTTGGCAGTCTTTCAGATTTTCAGTATGGATTATCAGGTCATCTGCAAATAGTGAAAGTTTTACTTCTTCCTTACTTATTTGGATGCCTTTTATTTCTTTTTCTTGTCTGATTTCTGTGACTAGGACTTATGGTACTATGTTGAATAAAAGTGGTGAGAGTGGACATCCTTCCCTTATTCCTGATCTTAGGAGAAAAGCTCGTAGTTTTTCCTCATTAAGGATGATGTTAGCTGTGGGTTTTTCATATTTAGCCTTTATTATGTTGAGGTATGTTCCCTCTAAACCTACTTTGCTGAAGGTTTTTATCATGAATAATGTTGAATCTTGTCAAATACTTTTTCTGCCCCTATTGAAATGATCATATAGTTGTTATCCTTTCTCTTATTGATACATATGTGTTGATTGATTTGTGAATATTGAACCACTCTTGCAAGCCATGAATAAACCCCACCTCGTTGTGGTGAATAATTTTTTTAATGTATTATTGGATTCAGTTTGCTAGTATTTTGTTGACGATTTCTGCATCTCTGTTCTCCAGAGATACTGACTTATAGTTCTCTTTTTTATGGTGTCTTTATTGGGTTTGGTATTAGGGTAATGCTGGCCCCATACAGTGAGTTTGGAAGTGTTCCTTCCTTTTCTATTTTTTGAAATAGTTTGAAGAGAATACGTATTAACTCTACTTTAAAGGCTTGGTAGAATTCACCTTGAAGCCATCTATCTGGTCCAGGAGCTTTTGTTGGGAGTTTTGTGATTACTGATACAATTTCTTTGTTGGTAATTGGTCTGTTCAACTTTTCTATTGCTTCCTGTTTCAGTTTTGGTAGGTTATATGTTTCTAGGAATTTATCCATCTCTTCTAGGTTGTATATTCTCATAACTGTTTTATATTTCTGTGGTGTTGGTTGTTGTTTTTTCTCATTTGTAATTTTATTTGTGTCCTGTCTCCTTTTTTCTTTATATGTCTGGCTATTTTCCTCTATTTGATTTATATTGGTTTTCTCTTAAGTTTCTTTTTTCCTTTTTGTTATAGTCACTTTTATATTTGAGTTTTCCCTTATGTCAGTTGCTGCTTAGCTGTTTGTGTTTCAAAGTGAGACACAATGTGGCTGACTTGGACCTCTCTGTGCCTTAAATTCGAGGTCAGGCCAACTCTCGACATCATTAGTTTGGGCCATTCACTGGGAAATCCACGACTGTCAAAATCTGCACAACAGTCTTCTTGGAAGGATTACATTCCTCAGAAAGAAATTCTGATCTATTGCCTTAGGAATCCTAATACCGGCTGCTACATTCCAGAGCCCAGTGGGTCTCTGGGCCACAGTACTGGGTAGAGAATATTTTTACTTAATCCTTGGGCATCATCGCGGTACCCACTCCACCCTCATCTAGAGAGTCAGAGTCTAGAGCCACTTTGCTTCCACCTCCTGATACTAACTTCCATCCTTATGCCGGCCAGGGGAAAAGCAAGGGGCATCTGGTTACATTTATTCATAACTCAGCCAACTGTGTTATTTTCCCAGCTTCACATTCTTTCTATTTGAGTTTTCTTTTCCCTAGTGCTTTCATTTTAATGGAATTTAGTGAGGGAGGTGAGATAAATCATGTGCGTATTCTTTATTTTTGACCAAAGGCTATTCACGCTCCTTTTGTTTAATATTATAACAGCCAAATAATTCTAGGACTGGGAAAACATGCTCTCTCTTGGTTTCTCTGGGAAAACATGCTCTCTCTTGGTTTCTACTCAGTAGAGTTACTCAAGCATCTATTTTAAGATGGTCTGGATAGATGACAAATAGTTTTTTTAGATATACTTGCATTAGATTTGGGGGAATATTTAAAATTAGTAAGAAAGCTTAAAAATAAGTTGCACAGGGGCGCCTGGGTGGCTCAGTGGGTTAAGCCTCAGCCTTCGGCTCAGGTCATGATCTCAGGGTCCTGGGATCGAGCCCCGCATCGGGCTCTCTGCTCAGCAGGGAGCCTGCTTCCTCCTCTCTCTGCCTGCCTCTCTGCCTACTTGTGATCTCTGTCAAGTAAATAAAATCTTTAAAAAAAAGATACGTTGCACAATCTTTTTAAAAAATGAATGTTGTATATTTCTCAGATTTTTAAAATTTATCTTTTGGGAAACTAGAACAGTTACTAGTGGAAGAATATTACTTTCCTAAAATAGTAGATGGGTGGTTATATCAACCTGTTATATTTCTTTTATAAACATGCTAGTAAATGAGGTTTGATTAGAAAGTAACTCAAATAGACTGATTTTGTTCATGCAAAGTGCTCTTTATTCTCAAAGTATGTCTTAGTTAGCTCAGGCTGCTATAAAAAAATACCACAGACTAGGTGGCTTAAACAATAAGACATTTATCTTCTGTTTCAGAGGCTAGACGTTGGAGATCAGGGTGATAGCATGGTCAGGTTCTTGGTGAGGGTCCTATTTTTGGTTTGTAGGCAGCCACATTCTTGCTGTGTGCTCACAGGGACTTTCCTCAGTACATGTTCATGGAAAGGAAAACTCTCTTTCTTCTTCTAATGGCAGTAATCCCATCATGTGGGCACCACTCCTGTGGCATTATCTAAATGTAGTTACTTTCCAGAGGCCCCTCCTCTAAATACATTAGGGCTTAAGGCTTCAATATATGAATTTAAATGGGGGGGAACACAAATATTTACTCTATAACAATGTAAATTGTCTCATTACATAATATATGAATAAATACTAATCTTATTTATAACAATGTAAATTGTCTCATTACATAATATATGAATAAATGCTGATCTTATTTATTCTACATGAACCTCTTATTCCTCATAATTTATGGGGTATATTTCCAAATTATAAAACCAATATACTTCCTGTCTTATTCATTTAAAGGGCTTTATTGCATAAGGGTTAATGGTTTAGGCTCTAGAACCATACAGCTGGGGTTGAAATCCTAAATATGTTGCTAAGTAGCTGTGGAAAGGCATGTGATATTTGTGTATTTATTACCTAGTCTACATCATGAGGAGGAGAATAAGCCTTCAAAAACCTGTTTGGGGAATTAGCTAAGTTAATAGATACTAAGCACTTACTACAATGCCTAGAATGTTGTAACTACTGCATTATGTTTTGACATTATTAGTAGTATACTAAAAATAGAGCTCTGAGATATTAATGAAAATAATGGAAAACAATGATTGTTCCCTGGATATCATTTAGGAAATAGTTGCATCAGTCTTGATTTCATGCTTTTCTGTTCATATTTTTGGTGAGAATAAAAAAAATCCATCTACATATATGATCTACTCAAAGACTGTTTCTTATCCCTTTCAGGATGGCCCTTTGGAAGCACAATGTGCAAGGTCAGTGGATTCATCCAAGGAATATCAGTTGCGGCTTCAGTCTTTACTTTAGTTGCCATAGCTGTGGATAGGTAAGTCAGCACCAAAATCGGAATCTGGTGAAAAATGTATAATCTACTATATTTGCCAAATCTGCCCCAAATTTTATCTGTAATATCCAGTCTTTTAAGAGCACAGCGTATATCTGCTAAAGGTTCAGTAATAAAATAAAACTACTAAAGTTTCCGTTTTTAAAATTAAATAATTAGGGATGACACGTGTCTTATTTGGGGCTGTTATAATAAGACACCATCAACTGCATGTCTGAAACAACAGAAATTTATTTCTCACCGTTCTGGAGGCTGGGGCAAAAGTCAGGATGCCAGTAGCTTCTGTGTCTGGTGAGAGAACTTTTCCTGGTTTGCAGAGGGGCATTTTCTCCAAGGAACCAGGAGCTCTAGTCTCCTCTTTTTAAAAGGTCACTAATTCTATCATGAGGACACCACCCTCTTGATCTCATTTGAACCTAATTAGTTCTAACTACCATCCAATCAGAGTTAAGACCCTGACACTTATTCAAGGTATGAATTTTGAGGGGACACAAAGTCTACAACATCATAGTTATACTATTTTTCACTACAATCAAATTTTCTAGTGATAGAAATGTGAAATCTAAAATTTTATCCAGATTTTAAGAGAAAATTTAATCATCATTTACACATAGTGTTGAGGTGTGCCTGTACTGCGCTGGTCTGTATATCATCTAAAACACATTAGACAGGGATGCCTGGGTGTCTCAGATTGTTAGGCATCTGCCTTTGGCTCAGGTCATGATCTCCAGGTCCTGGGAATGAGCCCCACGTTGGGCTCCCAGCTCAGCAGAGAGCCTGCTTCTCCCACTGCCCCTCAAATGAATAAATAAAATCTTAAAAAAAAATAAAACAAGTTAGACAAAGTGCTGCCTAAAGAAGTTCACATTCTGGTAGAGGCAGAGAGATATGTTAACAAATACTTACAAGTAATACTCTCTACTATAACAAACTGTACAAAGGAGAGAGTGATCAAGTTACCTTTCAGGATAGGGAGTGTCAAGTTCACAGAAGAGGTCATAACTGATTGCTCAAGATTTAGAAACTAACTTTGGGAAGAAATAGAGGAAAGAGCATCTCTTAAGACAGGGATATATATATATAGATATCTATATGGACTTGAAGTGGAGGATACTTATCAAGAGAAGCACAGAGAGGCAGGCCAGCTAGAACATGGGAAGGTGGAATGGCACCTTAGGTGTGACCATTTCTCCCACAGAAAGAGGCAAGTGGGTTTTCTATGGGCTTGTCTTCCATTTGTTCTGAAGACATCAGGGAACTACTGAAGTCTTTTATATGGGGGAGTAATTACTAGACTTCATTTTAGGAAAACAGAAATGGTTTGGAGTTGTATAAGACTGGAGAAAGGAAGAACAGTTAAACTTTTGTAACAACTTAGGTGGGAGAGGATGTAAGGCAGTGGCAATGGCAATTAAGAGATATTTGGGAGAGAAACTGAATAATGCCCCAAAAACCAAAATGCTTTAGAATTGTTGACATCAAAAACCAACTTGGTAGATTGTGTTTTAAATATTAATCTATTTCTAAGAACCCATATTATACATCTAGCTTTTTGGTTTCCATTTAAAGAGAACAGAATTTGCAATATATGCTAACAAGCGCATGCCAAAGGTATCTTTTTATATTAAAATTTGGGAGCCAATTATTTCCAAATTTACTACATTCTATTGCTATTTTGCTAAATCATTTTTTGATGTACTAATTTATACTAATACTTATTTTATACTAGTAAATAATGCTACTACTAAATTATTTTGTTGTGAATATAGTACTAAACCTTAATTTTACAATTATTTATGTTACCTCTACAGTGAATAAAAGAAATATCCTTTGTATTTTATACTTGCATCTTGAGCTTATCAGATTTAGAATTATATATCCCTAAGTTTCTCTTTCACTGTTTCTACAATGCCTCCTAAGCAGAGATATCATTTTAAAAAGGTTAAAACAATAAGCATATTGTGCTATGTTTACTCAAGGGATAATGGTATATGAGGTAAAATCAATTAACTAGGTCCATGTATTTCAAAATGCATACATTTCAGAAGCATACAATCTCAAAGCTATGCAATGATGCATGTGATATGGTGCCATAATATAGAAATTAAAATGTTATAAATGCAGGCGAATACTGTCAAAGCCTAAAAACATTGACAGGAATGACATATAGCAACTTTAGATTTCTGAGGAAAGTGGAATAGTAGATTAGGATTGAATAGACCACCTACCAAAAAAATTTCATCTCTGTCATGTTTTAGGTCTTTTAAAAAGTGATGAACTATGGTCATGTGCCATGACACACCCTTTGCTCTCTGCTTTCCCAACCATGTGTCATTTCTCTAGAGTTTCAGTTTTCTGTTGCAGTGTAACAAGTCAGCTCCCAAAACAAACCACTTAGTGGCTCATGACGCTCATGAATCTATGACAAGGGCAGCTTCACTGACTGGAAACATATACCTTGTTTCTGCTCCACTTGGCATCAGAGAGGGAGTTCTAAGACCAAGAAGGAAGCCTTTTCCTAATGTTGGTGCCCAGACTGGGAAGACTTGAACATCGAGGAGCGAGAACTGGGGCTTCTCAGGCCCTGCATGGACGCTGCAGTATGGCAGCTTCAAGGTAGCTGAGCTTCTCATGTCTGTCCAAGGCATGGGTATCCTAAGAGAGTGTGTCCGTGAAAATCACATAGTGTCCCTTGTGCATCCTGTTCCTTAGAAATGAGTCACAAAGGCCATTCAATGGACGTTGGAGGGCATGTTCAAGAATTTAGACCTGTATTAAAACCACCACACCTTCATCTCTATCTGAACTACTGGCACCCAAATGCATTTCTCAGGGTCGGCTCTTGGAGAAAGCCAAACTACAAAAAAAAAAAAAAAAAATCTCCCAAACCTATTTCTCCAGATTAACTTCACCTACAAATCCAACAACCCACCACCTCAAAATAAACAAACCCAGAATTGAACTTTCTTCCCTACCAGTCCTACACACACACACACACACACAAACTAAACAAAAAGCTCCTTTTCTTATTTTTCCCAGCCAAGGAACGGCAGGATCACACATCCAATCTAAATGAAAATCTTGGGATTTATTCTTGAACTTTATTTCTCTCTCCAACTTCTTTCTAGTCACTCTTCAAATCCCGTCAGTTCTGGGTGCTCACTGGTCCTGAACAAGGCACCATCCCCCATTGCTTGAGAGAGAAAACTGAGATTTTTTTCTTTTCCTAAGTGGTGTGGTGATTAATTTTATATGTGAACTTGACCGTGCCAGGAGGTACCCAGATATTTGGTCAAATGTTATCCTGGGTGTGTTTGGTGAGATTAACTTTTGAATCCATAGGCTGAGTAAAAGATTGCCGGCGTTCATCTGGGAGGCCCTTATTCAACAAATTGAAGACCCAAATACGAACAAAAAGGCTGACCTTTCTGCAAGTGAGAGAGTATTGCTCCTGCCTAAGTTTTTGAGCTGAGACATCAGGTTTTTTCTGTCCTCAAACTACAACCTTAGATCTCCTGGGGTATGAGTCTGATAGCTTCTAGACTGGAACTTGTATCAGTGGCTGTCCTGTTCTCAGGCCTTCAGATTTGAACTGGAAGCCCAGTTGGCTCTCCCGTGTCTCCATTTTGCCAGCTGCAGGGACTTCTCAACTTCCAAAACTGCATGAACCAATCCTGTAAAATAAGTATCTTTCCATATATTTATACATACTGTTGGCTCTGTATCCCTAGAGAACCCTGACTAATGCAATGGCCAAGTCTAAATTCTAGCAGGATTTTAGCATAATTAAACAATATTTTCCTTGCCTGTTTCCTGGCAGAGAGCATTTTCTATCATGTTCATCTTTGTCTCTCTGAACACACACACACACACACACACACACACACACACACACACACACATATTTGTTGAATGAATGAAAAAAGATTGATGCCCCAACAGTTGGTTTACAAAAAGAACAAGATACCTAGAATTGTGCCTATGAAGGTACCCATAATTTAATGATGAGTAGATAGGGAGACTCTTTAATTAGAAGATTAAAAGAGAACTTGGAAGTTAAGAGAGCAGACCTTACACATGCTGCAATGAAGGACAACAGAGCAATCAATGTTCAAGTTAATTAGTATATGAAGCTATGTGAGATAAATTAATATGGAGCTGCTGCTGAGCCATTAAAAGCTTTAAGTTTTCTTACCTGCAGATCTGGAAAGTAATAATTTTCATTTTTCCACTTTACAGAGTCATTACAAAAACCAAAGATTAAATAGGTGATTGTACTTTGAAAAATATAATATTATATAGTTGTATACGGTATGACTATAATTATCATAGTGAGTATGAATAATAGCACCAAAACTCACAATGCCAAAATTGCAGTTAAATGCAATCAGGGTTATGCTATGTACTGAGATTGAATTTCCATGCTCACCAGAGGACATACAACGTCTGGAAGGCATGTAATATAACTCATAATGGAAACTCTCAGACTGTCATAGCTGTGACTCAAGCCACCAAAACACTTAGTGGCTTGAAACAAAAATGCTTAAACGAATCTACTGTTTGGTTGGGTGCCTCTGCGTCATCACTCAAGCTTCTATATGTCATGCTTGCTAATGTTCAATTGGCCAAGCACAGAGATGACATGGGAAGGGGCCACAGAAAGTCATGAGGGAGAGTTTAACAATGGACTCTAGAGCCAAACTACCTGTGTTAAAATTATGTGTAGCTGTGGACAAGATTTTTTTTTTTTTTAGTTTTTCTAGACCTATTTTGCTATTTTTTAAGTGGGTAAGTTTAAAGAGACAATTAATGCAAACCAATGAGAAAGAGTCTGGAACAGAATACTAAGTATTCATGTTCAATATCTGCTAGTTACAATGGTCACTTTTATTATTAATAGTGATTAATATACTGTCTGATACTCAACTTATTCATATTTTGAGATGAAATTTATATCTGTCACAAAAAACACCAATGCATGCCCCTCTGTTGCTAATGGTAACTTCATTTTTTGAGAGGAACATGAATGGGAGAATTAAATTTAATTCACAACTTGGTCAGAAGTTTTAAGGCAATGTTCCACTGATACTTGCTTTTAATTGCAGGTTCCAGTGTGTTGTCTACCCTTTTAAACCAAAGCTCACTATCAAGGCAGCATTTGTCATTATTGTGGTCATCTGGGTCCTGGCCATTGCCATTATGTCCCCATCTGCAATAATGTTACATGTAGAAGAAGAAAAATATTACCAAGTGAGACTCAACTCCCAGAATAAAACCAGTCCAGTCTACTGGTGCCGGGAAGACTGGCCAAATCAGGAAATGAGGAAGATCTACACCACTGTGCTGTTTGCCAATATCTACCTGGTTCCCCTGTCCCTCATTGTCATCATGTATGGAAGGATTGGAATTTCACTCTTCAAGATGACAGTACCCCACACAGGCAAGCAGAAGCAGGAACAGTGGCACATGGTGTCCAAGAAGAAACAGAAGGTCATTAAGATGCTCCTGATCGTAGCCCTGCTTTTTATTCTCTCCTGGTTGCCTCTGTGGACACTGATGATGCTCTCAGACTACGCTGACCTGTCTCCAAATGAGCTGCAGGTCATCAACATCTACATCTACCCTTTTGCACATTGGCTAGCCTTTTGCAACAGCAGTGTCAATCCCATCATTTATGGTTTCTTCAATGAGAATTTTCACCGTGCTTTCCAAGATGCTTTTCACCTCCAGCTCTGCCAAAAAAGAGCAAAGCCCAAGGAAACCTACACTCTAAGAGCTAAAGACAATGTGATCATAAATACATCTCATCAGTTAGCCCAGGGACTTACCATTCAAAATTTGCATGAGGAAAATTTGCCTTGTAGGAAAAGTACTGAAAAACCCAAACAAGAATTGATGATGGAAGAATTAGGGGAAGCTACTCACAGCAATGAGATTTTAAAAGAGCTGGTATAATGATTTTTTTTAGATTTATTTATTTATTTATTTGACAGAGAGAGATCACAAGTAGGCAGAGAAGCAGGCAGAGAGAGAGAAGGGGGAAGCAGGCTCCCTGCTGAGCAGAGAGCCCGATGTGGGGCTTGATCCCCGGACCCTGAGATCATGACCTGAGCTGAAGACAGAGGCTTAACCCACTGAGCCACCCAGGCGCCCCTGGTATGATGATTTTAACTATACTCTGTGTTATATATAGAAATACTCTTGCTTTCTATAGCTTTGCATTTCAGTTCTTTCTGAGAATGTTCTAAAGAAAACATGTACTGAAACCCTCTCTGGACAGAAGTGGAAAAAGCAGTCTTATGTTCATATTCAATCTTACGTTATACAAACTATATAGTGACTCACATACGAATTTGCCTGGATGAATCCATTTTCTAGGAACAATTTTCAAAGCCTGACCTTTTCCATTTTAGCCATTTGTATATGAGTCAAGCATGTGCATTATGGGTGTACCACTAAAGACAACACACACCCATTTTCCCCAAATGGTGATAAATGGGCAGTTCTTTGCATAAGAGTACATTTCCTCAATTCCATCTTTGCTTTTGGAGTTGAAATTTTAGACTAGAGAATTACTTGTGTTTTTAAAATATACTTAGGTTTCTTAGAAATAATGGCAATAGCAAATAGATGCTATTTCTTTTAAAGAGTACAGTTAAAGTTGGTGAGAGAATAACATTGTTGGCTTTTTAATATTTTCATAAATAGGGGCACCTGTGTGGCTCAGTTGGTTAAGCATCCAGCCCCCTTTTGTTGTCAATAATTTTTTATTATGTTCAATTAGCCATCATACAGTATGTCATTACTTTTTTATTTCAACTCAGGTCATGATTTCAGGGTCCTGTGTTGGGCTCCCAGTTCAGCAGGAAGTCTGCTTCTCCTTCTCTGTCTGCCGCTCCCTCTGCTCATGCCCTCAATCTCTTTCTTTTGCAAACAAATCTTTAAAAAAATTTTTCATAAATAAAATTCATGCTCTAGCTACAACCATGTTTCTTACAGAGGTGACTCGGGACCCCAATTTGACCCCCTCTCTGGTAGAATCTCTGACACAAAGATGCAAATCCTTTAATAATGCAGTGGTTGGCAGAAGAATGACCGCTCTCCTTTGTAGTGCTTAGTCAACGATGTTCAGCAATCATTATAAGACTCCCATAAAGTCTATACAGAACAGGACCAATTATTCCAGATTTCCTACTGGGCACAGCATTTAAATCCGGCACTCTTACTGAATTTGTAAATTAGTACCACTGTTAAAAAGAGACTTACAAACCCTTGGATTCTGCTGTGTTTCAACTATATAATAATACCAGCTGTAAATGATAGCTTTTATTCTAGGGTGAGATTAGTCCCTAGAAAATTTGAAAATATAATAGATAGTTTGGCAAACAAAAATAAATCTCTTGGTTTAGACCTAATGTGTTTTTCCAGTCATTCATGTGGTTCAAGCTAAAAGCCTTTCAACATTATGGGCCTTTGAGAAAATAACTGTTGAGTTTTCAACTGAATTGAGCTACAGGAGATCTGAATATACAAGTGTTATTCCTACAACCAGGAAGGGCAACTTTGGAAGTTTATGTACAGAATCTGACCTTATATTCCTTTGCCCTCATTTACTAAAATACTGTGTACAGTAGATGTTGAAGTTTATTTTGTTAGACTATTTATTGTTTTCTGATGGGCATCCTCACATTCTATCAGGACCTCAAACTCAAACTAAACCCCACATCCTTACCTGTCATCGATCTGCCTTTTATCAACTTCAACCCCCTTTCACATGAGTTTCCACAAATAGTCTGCTTATAACAAAGCAGGTATTATCTAAAGTGATGTATTTTATCATGCTCATTTTCTTGAGTCCTCATAAGCAGAGTTGTTAATATCCATATTTTTACTAACAGCCTGTTCAAGACAACCTAAGTCACAAGCCCCAGAGCATTGTTTCAAGATCTTTAAACCTAGTGAAATTTGCCTGACTGGATTTCAAAATTTCTTGGGAATGGTGAACACTTTTTTCTTCCCATTTTCTCCCTTTTTGAACAGATATGGCTATAACTGATACTCCATGCTTGTACCACCACTGTGTTTTAGGAACAAATAACCTGCTTCTTTAGTTCCATAGATGTTGCATAGATGGACAGAAATTCTGCCACTAAATCTGTGGTAATTTGTTATGGCAAAAATACATAGTAAATACACATCATTTTCTTTTTTATAGTTAATTCTTTGGTACACTCGGAGTATATTTTTCATAAGAGAAAAATATAAATGTTTTATAGTATTTAAGCAGTTTTTCCATTCAATCATCTCTCTGCCTGGTTTCTTTTCTAGCTCATTAAGGGATTTTGGGTAGAATGCCCTCCCTTCTAGGTAGCAGCCGCTACACCAGCTCTGCCTGATCTGTTGACTGTGCTATTCCCTTGCTGAGGGACTGTGCTGTGATACATTGCCTCCCTCTGGGTAGGAAGTTTGGCAGGGGGGGATGGCCTTTGAATTACACCATGCACAGATTAAACACAAACTCAGTTCAGCAAATTCATAAAGTGAGAAAAATCTACCTTTGATGAACTTATACAGAAAGTTGTATTCCAAAGAACATTAAAGGCTATATGAATTTCAGTGTAGATATGTTTTGTGTTTGTTTCTAATCACAACATGGAACAAGGATCAGCATGGTCAGTGGTTAAGGCCAGCATGCCACAAAGGCAATTTGTGTGGTAGTTAGGATGACAGGTATTAGAGAAGGACTGACAGGTTCAAATCAAGGATTCTCTGCTTGTTACCAGTTGCATGGGTATGTGCAAATTACTTAATCCTTCCCTGTGTTGGCGTCTTCATCTGTAAAATGGGGTGATACTAGTACCTGTTCATAAGGTTGTTCTTAAGTGAATTATATCACATAATGCGTTTGAAACAGCGCTTAGTCTCCAAATAATCACGTGTGCAATTTATGTATCAAATATTCAGGTGGAAAAAGTCAAATTTCATACTGGATTAAAAAAAAAACATAAAAGTAAAGGGAGTTTCTTCACCTGATACATAATTCCTGAGTACTTGTGTATAAGCTGTTACCTATGTCATATAGTAATCGCCTTACAGAGGCTGACATATATGTAACATATAAATACTAATTAAAGCAAAAATGGAAAAAAGTAAATTTAACTGAAAGTCTCAAGCCTGGAGGAATGATAGTGGGTTAAAAATGGACAAGAAATAAGCATCACTTCTCTGTACATAGCATATGTGTTTTCTCATGTATTTGTCTTCCTCTTTAAACTAAGGCCAAAGAAGCAGCTTTTTAATCTTTGTATCTCTAGAGCTCAGCATGTTGTCCTGAACACACAGGTGAATAATAACTGATTTTAAGTAAATTGAATATCAGAACAAGTATTCTTATGAATTTGTTACTCTACCATCTTCATTAGGATAGAACATTATGATCTGTAACTGTGAATTGTAATAAAATAAAACATTTTCCTGATAATAACTATTGTTCCTCAATTAAATATTTCTCATAAACAAATGCATTACTGAAGGACTCAGAACAGTACTTTTTTTTAAAATTATTCATTTATTTGCCAGACAGAGAGAGAGGGAGAGCACAAGCAGAGAGAGGTGCAGGCAGAGGGAGAAGCAGGCTCCCCACCAAGCAAGGAGCCCGATGTGGGGCTTGATCCCAGGACCCCAGGATCATGACCTGAGCTGAAGGCAGACGCTTAATAAACTGAGCCACTCGGGCATCCCCCAGAACAGTACTTTTGATTTTACTGTGAGATCCAACATATTATGATGAGTAAAATTTCGGATAAAGAAGTTTGCCAGGAATTATATTCTAGTTTTTTAAATTAGTTATTTAATATAATTTCTGAAGATGTATTTTAAAAATTTTAGAGTCTGACTCCTGGGTTAGATGGTGGAGTAGGAGGATCCTAAGCTAACCTCATCCCATGGACAGATCTAGATAACACCCACATTAGTTTAAATAACCCAGAAAACAACGTGTTAGAGTTAACAACACTTAACAAGACTGTTAGAACAGGACGCCTGTGTGGCTCAGTGGGTTAAGCCTCTGCCTTCAGCTCAGGTCATGATCTCAGGGTCCTGGAATCGAGTCCCACATCAGGCTCTCTGCTCACCAGGGATTATATCACTACTTCCCTCTCTCTCTCTCTGCCTGCCTCTCTGACTCCTTGTGATCTCTCTCCCTCTTTCTGTCAAATAAATAAGTAAAATATAAAAAAAAAAAAAGACTGTTAGAACAGATTCTCTATACCTAAGTGTAGATAAATCGGCTGCATTGAAAAAGGTAGGAAGGGCTCATGTGTAGTCAGGAATCAAACTGGCAAGACTGTCCAGGGGAGGGAGGAACACCACAGGCATGAGAAAGGGAAAGGAGCAGACCTCACATCAGCCACCCCAGGCACAGAGGACCCACATAGAGAGACAAATCCCCACAACATTTGGCTTTGAAACTGAAGGGGCTTAACTTTGTGAGTTCTTACAGTCAGTGGGGCTTAACAACTAGAAGTTTAAAAATAGTGGACTCCCCTCTGGGAGAGCTGAAAGGTGATAGGAAACTGAAACAGAAATTATATTAAATAACTAATTTAAAAAGAGACAGCATGACAAACAGCTCCACTGATAAACAACATAGAAGCAGAAGTTTGAAAAACACCTAGGGCATATGAGAAAGAGATTTATTTACTAATCTCAGAGTATGTGCTAGAGAGGCAGGGATTTTTAGGAGACTTTAAGAACAAAATTGCTGACAGGTGCTATTTCTCTCACTCACTTCAGCACACCCAGCTCCTGAGCTTTTCCCCAGACCTGCCTCCTCCAGCTGGGCCTTAGCAGTTCTCCAAAAACAACTACGGATCCCTCCCACAGCAGACCAGCACACATTTTACTAACACCACACCGCTTGCCCCAACACTGTCCTGTTGACCTGACTCCCATGA